TGTTGCCTTTTATTGCATAAATTGTATAAATAAAACATCTATAATTTACTAAAGCATAGTAAAACATATTAAATCCAAAAAAAATTAGAATGTGGTTTTTAATAAATATGTACTAGATCTTTTTTATACGGCCTAACATAGTAATACAAAATAACCAGTGGTTATTAACCAAAATAAATCATTAGACTAAAAAGTAATAAAAAGGATAAAACTCCACCACCTGTTGCTTTAGTAAAGCATTCTTGTATGCCGACCATTCAGAAAGCATAATCAACACTGTACTGGCAGCAATTAAATAAGTAATTAACACGGCTTTTTCATTATAAAAAAGCTCTTTGGTCGTGAATTAAGGTGAATTTATTTAGTGAATGTATACACGGCTTTACCTTTAAACACTTACACAAAATACAAAATTTACATATTCATGAACAGTGTGAATTAATTAGTTGCATTTATAATTAGGCGTATGCGCATTAAAATAAAATAGTTTTAAAGGAATCCTTGAGAGCAGAAAAAAATAAAAATTTTAAGGTTCCAATAAAAAAATCTAATGCTTTACATTCCTTTTATTTTTTTATTAATTGGTGACAAACAAGGCATTCTTTACTCTCTACAAATTGATTTATCGCCTATAAAAAAATACTCAGTCGTTAAATTCATGTAAAAATCGATTTTAAAATTAGATTAACGTTCGCGATAACAAACAATGTACAATGTAAATTGGCATGTCAGATTTTACTTTGTCAAAACATGCACTTGGTGGCATGAAATCTTCATTAACGCTGAAATAAATGGTCACTGATTGTATCTAGGATATGAGACAAGAATATTAAAACATAAACAATATAAATTAATGTCGTCTGTCTGACTTTGAAAAGGTATTATCGGTTACATCGGTTTCGACGCTCCTATAAAATTAAATTATCTGCAGACAAAACTCATTGTTATAATAACTGGGATATTTTGGAGTAATTTTTTGTATAAAACCGATTCTAAATGTAGATATACATTTATTATAATTTGTATGTGCCTATTTATTATTATTTAATATTTTTACTTTATTTTATTATTTTTTAATAAAATTTTACTGTTGACTGTGGGTTTTAAACTTGACCTTTGCATCATCGCCTTTTTTAAAAATTGTTTGTATTAAAAAGAAATACTGAAAATATAAAAATAAATGTTTTTTTAGTTTATTTTACTTCTTTTGTTGTAAATGTAAGGATTTTAGTGGATTTAGATTTTACTGAAAAATAATAATACAAATTTAAAATCACAGGGTGTCCCAAAATTAAGGGGCGAAACTTATACAGCGCACTGTATGCAATCTGCATAGGAAAAAAACACAAATTTGTTTTATAAACATGTATCGTAAAATACCTCATGACGGTCTCCTAATGAAATTATTTTTGTTATACTTTGGTAATTTTAATATGCTGAATCTAAACCTAAAATAAAATGTGCAAAATTTCATAGATGTGACATTTGGGGGTAGAGGTAAAAAACAGCCACAACTTTTTGTGGGTTAATGTTTTAATTTTTTACCGCAATTATAAAAATTTTGAGCTAGCTTAAAAGTACTCTGGATTTTAAAAACATTTTATATGGGTGACTACTATTGTTTAATGAAAATATGAGATTGGTATGATAAACAGTTTATTTAATTTAATTTAATTTAATGATTTTTTCTCGAAATTGTTGCATCTGAGCGATCCAAAAGAATTACCTTTTTTATTAGAAGACTCCCCCAAGTAGCATTATATTGAGAACAACTGATATCGCAACTTCAAATAAGTGACAATTACGTTAAAATAACTAATTCTACCACGAAGCACTTAAAATATCTTCATATATCATAGTTGTAATCATGTGATTTACACCAGCAGAATATACTTCATAGTTTTATAACTTTTTGGTGTTTCAGTCTGGTATCTGAAATGTTATGACCACTTTTGACACCACATTAAAGTTTTCTAAACTTTAATAGTAACGGTATCCAAACCACATCACTTAAGTATTACTTGGAAGTGGTAGTAGTAGTTGTAAATTAGGAATACCAGTTTTGGCAATGTTTTCGGAACTTTTCCCAAACCTTGAATGTGGCAGAACTTGATTATATAATTACGGTGGCCATTGCCACGTTTTTGCCATGGTAGAAAAATAAATGTACTCTGTCAACATAAATTAGTCCAAAATGACTAATTTTTATAGCGAAAAAGTAGCCACTAATAATTATAGTCAACAGCAATTTTATTTTGGACATTTAGAAGTCAAATTCTTTGTAAAATTGTCCGCTGAATGTTGTCCAAAATTATAAAAGTAGAACAGTTTTTGAGATAAAGTCAATTTTCCATATAATATGGAAATGACCTATATTTCTAAAACAGTGCATTAGATTAATTTAAATTATTTTTATCGCTACATACTCGTATATACTTTAATTCATCTATCTCCTAAATTAATGTAGATCCCATTTTAAAACTTTCAGTGCTTCATATGGCTATATGGCTATATTTAAAAAAAAAATGATCAAAAAAAGTTATAAACATTTTCTTTGGAAAGTCGTCCGGTTTTTATGATTTTATAATTATAAAGAACAGTCAATTTTCGATAAACTTAACAATGTTTCATATATGAAAAATATATTTTGTTGTAAATTTGTTATGTAAATTTTTAAAAGCCCATAACTTGACAACTAAGCCTCATAGAAAAAAAATGTGGGTTTACATTTACACATTCTAGAAGTAGACCGAATGTAAACGAATTTCAGAATCACAATTTTTTTTCGTTGTCTGCTTCACATTAAATCGCTTTATTATAAAATTGGCCCAAAAATTCACATTTTTATTTATTGTTTGAACGAAGGCAGTAATAACAAAATCCATTAAAACTGACTAATAAATACCCTATTTCATAGATTTGGCTTTGTCGATTTTTAACATACGTTAAAAATTTATAAAAGTAAAAAAAAAATCCGAAATCTTTAAAATTTTAAAAATTTGGAAGAACATGAAATTTTTGGAAATGTAAATGTAAATTTTTATAATTTTCAATGTACAAATTACAACTTTAAAGCTAGAAAACTCTGAAACTAAACATTTTTCGAGAAAATGCTTAATTTTGATCAGTGTCATACACATGAAATATAGCCGAATTTACCGGGACGCATTTCCCAAAGGATTACCTAGTCCTTTAAAAAAGTCAATTTTCAACACATCTCTGATTTTTTTATAGTATAATCTATTGTATAGACTGAAATTTTAGTTTGGCTCCAAGAGGCCATTTAATTTTACCTTGTACAAGACTACTTATTAATTTAATGATTTTGTCATACAATTTTTTTTATTTGGTCAAAGGTTGAACTTCATTAGTACCTACCTACGATATTATATAGGACCTAAAAATTATTTTCAGAAACACTCTGTATAAAACTTATTAACTAAGCATGTAAGAGATGCGGGGGATGCATAGCTACGCATCTAGATAAGTACCCTTATGTTTAAATTTGTTTTTCAAGAATATATTATTGTCTGCAAGGTACCTTGAAGGAATCTTTAATATATTAAAGATATATAAATATTAATAAAAGAAGTTATGTTTGTATAATTTTTGTAAGAATTATGTATGATTAGCTGGATAGCATCAAGTTCCAATGAACATTAAACCAGGAAACAAATTGAAACAGCGAGTACCACATTGAATAAATCAATAGTTTGTCCTAGAACCGCATTGGCAGTAACTTATATCACGCCTATCGAACATTCTCTATTTACATTAATTATTAATTAGATTCTAAACTGTTCCTTTTCCCTAGTTGGTTTAAGCCAAGCATGCGCAACAACATGTTTGCAAGATTATTAATAATTATATCCGCAATTACATGAGACGCGTAATTGTTGTTGATGTACAATAAATGAATTTTAAATTAAAATTGCCACTACGCATATATTAATGAAGTCATAATCAATACTACCTAATATTAGAATGTCTTTTTTATTTAAGTATTTACATTAGAGGGCTCCGTTTAAAAGGAACATTTCTTTACTCCCCAATAAAATAAAAATTTAGTCCAATTTTGACCTCTTAATTTTAATTTTGAAAACTGGAACATTGTCGTTAAATTTTTTTGGTGCTAAAAAGATTTACATCTTGTTTTTTCTTCAAACCACTACGCATATTTTAATGAAGATAATATTATTAGAATGTCTTTAATTTTATTTTTCTACTATTACATTTAAAACTCCCATTATCGTTATTCATGTTTCTTGACACTAAGTGATCTTTTAAATACACATTGTTGTGTCTTTATGGCCTTTTAGTCACGGGCTGAAGTTAGGTTAATGTTGTCATTAAGGATACAGTTGTTAAAGTAAAGTGGCCCTTCTTGTTAAATAATAATGTGAAATTTCGGGTGGAGACTCTATCGTGAAGTTCCCATAAAACACTTTCACTGTGTTTAACTGATTCTATATTATTAAATTATTTCAAATTGAGAAAAAAATCTAAAAATTTTCGCCGGTGAAACTTAGTAGTCATAACAATTAAATCATCAGTAGCAACTTCATTAATAATTGTTAAATTATTAAATTATAATTTACCACTACGACGACTAGCATGAAGTGTGATATAGGCGTGTCAGTTTTGAAAGGCTTCAACCAAACACATCCATTCGAAAGGGCCGTTCTCACGCAAATTACCTGCTATTTAGCAGCCAAGCCTAGAATATGTGCTCTAGACCACCACTGTTTGGTTTCTTGCCTTTACATTTTTCCCATAGATTTTTTTTAACTTTAAAATATTATTCTACTAAGACCACTTGTAAACAAATATGCCATTGGCTTAATAAATCGCCTGTCTAAAATCTGTTGTTTCAGGCTTGAAATGTGCTTTTCCAGGTCCGAAAAGAATTCATATAGGTATCATATTATTCCAAGTAATAAGGCAGAGAGAACGGTTGCAAAATTAATGACGTTTTCGAGTGGTTTTAAAATATTTCTTACCTTATTTTCTTCTTTTATGATTAAATGGCACTTGTGAAGAAAAACTGTCCATAATCTAAAACATAAAAGGAAATGAATTAGTTAACCTATTAAGTAAAATTTAATATTTATTTTTATTATTATTATTAGTATTATTATTATTATTATTATTATTATACGAGATATAATGCCCACAAAAACAATGAAATAAAATCAGACATCTGTCAAATGGTTAACCTCACTTTTTACCAATTTTAAATGTTATTATAGTCTCCTTCTCCCAAGTTAAAACCCGATTGGTTTAAATCACAGTGAGTATTGAAATCGGCCAATCACTGATGCCTAACAACGTGAATAATGAGTTCATTATTCCCGTTGTTGCGCAGGAAATTTATAATGTTTATCATTATTCGCTTAAAACCCAATACTATGCAATAAGAGTAAATAAAGTTATATATAACTTATAAGTATATATCTTTATCTACTCCTATTGCATAATTTTGGTTTTTTTCCGTGAATATTGTTAAACATTATAAATTTTTTGCCTAACAACGTGAATATTAAACTTAATATTCACATTGTTAGGCATCAGTGATTGGTCGATTTTTAGAATTCACTGTGATTTGAATCAATGGGGTTTTAAATTGAAAGAAGGCGACCATAATACCATTTAAAATAGGTAAAAAGTAAGGTTAATCATTTGACAGATGTCAGATTTTATTTATTTAATTTTGAAAATCATTTAATTATCTGATTATACGCTAAGAAAGTATCGCTAGTAGCGCCACCACTTGGCTGTTATCATCGTAACAAAAGTAGAACTTTTAATAATTAGCTGTCAAACGCTTAGGTTACAAACGAGTGTTTTTGAGAATAAAGCCGGAAAATGTTAAAAAATATCGAAAAAAAAACGTAGATCGACTGGTTGTGTTCTTGGGTGTATTTCGAGAGGAAATCCTGGGTTGAGTTTTTACCGGTTTTTCCAATAAACAGTGTTAATCTGAATGAAGAAATAAATTTCATACAGTCTCTGTAAACATAAATTGTAGCTATTAGATACAATAAATACACATTTTAGTAGTGATTAACGTGAAAAGTGTAAACATTTCAATTCAGTAAAGTCGTCTAAATTTAAACAGCATTTAGCATTATTAAAAGCATTGATTAAGAATTCTTTAAAGTCTCCACTCAACGGTAAAATACCATTATATTATGTATAATATTATGTTGCCATGAATTCGTAGGTATATTTTGTTGTTTATAATGCAGTTGTCGGCGTTTTTTAGAGAACTTAAATATAAAAATGATTGATTTTAAGGTTATGCAAAAATTATTTTTTACTTATTTCTTAATAAACTCCAAACTTAAATATAAATTATATTAGGTAAAGTTATCATTAGTTAATTCTGCACCAACAAATGTACTTACCGAATTAGATCCTTTGGCAAAACATGAAAACGATTTAGTTCTTGAATTTTATTTACAATTAAAAACTATAATTCACCATAATCCCTTTGATAAAATACACACACTAACGTAACTATATAAGCATTTAAGCGTTGAGTTTCTTAATCAATGATATAAGGAACAATCAATCGAAATCGAGTACTATAAAAGTTTTTTTATTTTTTCCTTGCAAACGTAAAACACAAATAACGTGCGCGATTTAGCTGTGCAATTGAACAAAATTAGTCGAGTAAGACTTTTGCCTTCCTCACTTTTGTAAAAAAAACTACCTATTTATTTAAAAATGATGTATAATCAGTGCTTTAAATTTATTGTTGACAATTCTTAAATTCACCCAATGCATTCGAAGTCCACCAGATGGCGCGCGCGTTGCGAAAACCCGATACTTCTTTAGCGAATGGGAGTAAATAAAGTATTACACTCGAGACTATGCGCATTATTCACTCGGATGATTTAAGTCTCTTATCCTCGGAAATAATAGCCTGCATTATAATAATATACTATTAATATCATCCAGTTTATTAAACAAAATAGTCATTAAAATATTACGTTTTTTGATAGTGTAAACCTTTTGTATAAATGAATATGTTTATTGGAGTAAAGACATCAAAATAAAATGATAAAAATTCATTCATTTTTTTGATAATATCGTTATAACATAATATTGGTAGTAATAATGAGATAATGCGCATAATCTCGAATGCAATAATATACTTTATATACTCAAATAGATAATTTTCAAAAATAAATAAATAAAATTTAACATCTGTCAAATGGTGACCTTACTTTTTTTAAAAGTCTTTTTCCAATTTACAACCCGATTGGTTCAAATCACAGTGAATATTGAAATTGGCCAATCACTGATGCCTAAAAACGTTCATTATTTCAGTTGTTGGGTAGATAATTTTTAATTTTAATATTATAAAAGAAAAAACCCAATATTTTGCAATAAGAGTAGATAAAGTAACTTTTAAATGCTGCAGCAACGATTTTCTAATAAAACGAGGTATTTCCTTATATCTTCTTTTGGATGATAAATTGAAATTAAATGTTTTCTTATTGACTGTTGGAACGTAGTGGCCACTATAATGGAATAAATAAAGTCCATTTATCAATATTACTGCCACTTATTTAGAACAATTTTGCTACTAACAAGGGAATTAATGTTAACCTTAATCTACACATATTAAAGGTTAATTGATTAGCAGAATATTTCAATAAATAACTATTGGTAAGTAGATGTGATAAGCAGGGGCGTAGAAAAGGTTTCAATTATGATTTTCATTTAAATTCCGTTCTTTTAAATGATTTTTCAGACTTTAGAATCTTATAAAATCATTTTTAATAAAATGTACAAAAATGCGTTAGATTAATTGCATATTGCAAAACATATAACTTCGACTATCAGTGGCGTAGCTAAAACATTTTTCACACAGGACAAAGAATAATCCATTATAAAAAGTCCGTCAAATATATTAATTTTAAAAACTTAAAAGCTTTTTCAGTTGACCATCAATTTGATTGACGCTGGATTACAGAGGCTGGAATCACTCGAAAATACAAATTTATTATTCTGCATAACGAAATATTACAAAATCATCAAACATGAAGATGAAGATTTAGGTCTTCATAATTAAAGTTCACTGACTTATTCTAAATTACTGCATGCAGCAGCCTCAAAAATTTGTGGTTTTGACTAATTAAATAAAAAAAGAGTTTCTACAAACTCACTGCAAGTTGAGTAATGAGTAGATGTTAGTCGAAATTAGCTGCCGACTTTTAAAATTTCCGACCGGTAAATTTATAAAAAAATGGGAATCTGAATTCACTTTTGTATCCTTACGACGATAATATTTTTTTTATTGTAAATGTTTGGGGGTGATACCCCCTACATTCCCCTCGCTACGTCCCTAATTACAATAAAAAAATCAAATTTAAAATTATTATGATAATGATTAAATCTGCAGCTCGGTTTCAATTTCAAAATATCATCGATAATAATTATACCACTTGTTATATTATGGGTGACAATAAAACCTAGTATTTGTATGAATCAGAGTATATAAATTATTTTCTCCTTATGTTTTTATATAAATACTGAGACCCTCATAAAAATGATTGACTATTGTCGTATTCCCGACAAAAAGGTGCGACAAACGCCGGCGTTGAGTCTGAGGAATTCCAGAAATGCGCTTGCAGGTCGCGCTTTTATTATTTGTCGCTTACGCTAATTACATCTAAGCGAGATATTTTACATGGGTGACGACTGACAATAACAGATTTAGTGCCGTGTTACAAATGCCAAGTTTCTAACAGGTTCTCTCAGTACAGGTGTACAAACCATGGGAAACTTTTAATGTTTTTATTGTTTATGCATGTGTTCGTACAGGATATCGAAATACATACTTGTAAAGTACGTTTTGTACTTAAGTATTTGGTATCTAGGGGATTGGTTGGAAAATAACACTAGCATATTTTATTGTTTTAAATTCAAGGTATACATGACACTTTTTGAGATATCTATTGGTTTATCTATGGACAAATACAATTTTAATTGTTATTAAACTACATTAAAAAATTATGATGTATTTCTGAAAACCATTAATTTTACAAGTATATAGTCTGTATTATGAATTAATTTCATCTGCCGCTTTTAATTGATGCTTTACACTCTCATTCATTAAGTCATTAGGAAGATGATGAAGTGACTGACATTTATACTTATAACAAATTATACGCCAAGATTAAGATAACAAATAATTATACAGGGATAGGTATGCCACAAGGATCCAATTGCTGATTGAAACTAAGTTATCGATCGAGTTTTTTATACGCAGTAAACGATAATTTACAACTGTTGATAAAAAACATATTATGTTTGATTCAATCCTTCGAGCTAATTAATTTAAATAGTTTAGAACAGTGGTTCCCTATTACTATAAAAATTAATCTGTACTTAATTGGGAAACACATTTCCTCTAAAAAAAACAAAGTTACAATAAATTCTCATAAATGCATTTATACGTTTTTTGTTTGTGATGCTTTCTTTGCCGAAGCAGATTGAGCAGTTTATGGCTTAGAGTCACCAATAGTGTTTTATGTATCAAGTTTGATAAACGCCATTTTAGACACGAATTTAATGTAGGCACGAGCGAGCTTTCGAGCGAGTGCTTAATTTCTTAATTAAATGAGTGTCTAGAACAGTTCATAAACCAGTTGCATACTATACTTTTACTACGACAAATACTTATTATTATCTAAAAATGATTTAAATTAAATATTTGTATTGAGCTACATCTATAAAACAATAGAATAACCAATTAGGAAATCTTTATTGTCAAATGTCAAATTTGTGTGTAAATCGAAATGTATCCCTTGAAAATGGACCGTAATCCAATATAGAAGCAGTTTTGTACAGTGAAAGTAAAGAAAATGTTTTATGGACACTCCACGGTGAAGTCTTCATCCGAAATTAAGTTAAATCTAGCTTACTGCCGACGAAATTAAAATGTCAATACAATGTTCATATAAAATTGGCGTTAAGAAACTATTTCATACTTTTGTATTTTTGTATTGAGGTAATAAAATAATTTTTACATTTATTATTTA